GCCAAATGGAATAAAATAGAAAAACAAATGTTCCTCATACTCCTGTTACATCACTCCCATATTGTGAAGAATTTTTTCCAAATATCAAAATCCTCTTACAATTATTGGCTACGCTGCCAGTATCGACAGMAACTGCTGAGAGGGCATTCTCGAACTTAAGGAGACTTAAAAATTACACGCGCATCCCCATGACTGAGTCTAGGTTGAATGGCTTAGCTCTTTTAAATGTTAATACAGACAAACATATAGATATCGACTTAGTTGTAAGTGTTAGCCCCTACGTTATTCAACGTTTAAATCCATGACCTACCCATTACGTCCAGTTTTAAATTTCAATATGCAGATGGCATAGCTTTRGCTTACCAGTGCAAGGACATGGGTGCAGGGAGCGAGATGTTGACCTAGGACTTAAAAATAATGARYGATTATTTTTATAAGTGGAGATTAAATCCCAACCCGTCCAAGACAGAAGTATGTGCTTTCCATCTCTATAACAGACAAGTGGATCGTGAGCTTCAGGTACAATTTAACACGATAATAAAACACAACCTCTCTCCTAAGTACCTAGGAGTGACCTTGGATCGCTCTCTAACTTTTAAGAAGCATTTAGAAAATGTACAGAAGAAGGTGAGATCAAGGATAAATCTTTTACATAAATTAGCTGGGACAGGATGGGGGGTCAGATGTACATACACTGAGAATTGCATCCCTAGTACTAGTGTATTCTACGGCTGAATACTGTTCAGGTGCTTGGCTTAATAGCAAACACGTCAAAAAGATCGATGTGCAATTAAATAGTGTCATGCGAGTTATTAGTGGAGCGTTAAAGTCAACTCCTTTAGAATGGCTCCCAGTCCTGTCAAATATCTCTCCCCCCGATATTAGAAGAAAGCAAGCTCTAGTTAGATTAATTGTAAAACAGGATCCGCTAAACAATTCTATGTTATCACAAATGCTGTGCAAAACCCACAAATACGTTTGAAATCTAGAAAACCTCCWTGGATCACTGCTCAACACCTTATTCTGACCAACTTTAATTCATCCACGGAATGGCGTACTGCATGGAATAATCTTACACTCGAGAATGCTGACTTAGTCGTTAACCCTACACAATCTCTGGAGGGTTTCAAACTACCCCGTCAAGAGTGGGTATCTTTAAACCGTATCAGAATCGGTCATGGAAGGTGTGGTTATTCTATGCATCAGTRGAAGCTTCGAGATAATCCTGCTTGCGATTGTGGAAATGCGGCTCAGACAATACAACACATTGTGTCAGACTGTCCTAAAGGAAAATTCGAAGGTAAAATAAGTGATTTCTTTAGACTAACAAGTGAAGCTCTTGATTGGATAGCTACCTTGGGCATCAGACTGTAGAGAAAATATTGAACTACACAATAGATATTGTTATATTATTATCATTTTTAGATA